CAAGAAAACAATTACATTTACAATAGCTACAAAACAAAACAAAACAAAACAAAAAACTAGGAATTAACAAAAAAGTGAAAGATCTCTACAAAGAAAACTATTGGGTTGGTGCAAAAGTAATTGCAGTTTTTGTCATTACTTGTTTTTTGGTTTTTTGGTTTTTTTTAGACAGAGTCTTGCTCTGTCACCCAGGTTGGAGTGCAGTGGTGTATTCATTACAACTTCTGCCTCCAGGGTTCAAGTGATTCTCCTGCCTGGGTCTCCTGAGTAGCTGGGAATACAGGCATAGGCCACCACACCTGGCTAATTTTTGTATTTTTAGTAGAGGCGGGGTTTTGCCATGTTGGCCAGACTGGTTTCAAACTCCTGATGTCAAGTGATCCACCCGCCTTGGCCTTCTAAAGTGCTGACACTACAAGCCTGAGCCACCGCAGCCAGCTGCCATTACTATTAATGTCAAAAACTGCAATTATTTTTGCACCAACCTAATATAAAACATTGATGCAAGAACTTGAAGAGGACACAAAAAATGAAAAGATTCCATTTTCATGAATTGGTAGAATAAATGTTGTTAAAATGTCAATACTATCCAAAGCTATCTATAGAATCAATGCAATCCTTGTCAGAATACCAATGACATTATTCACAGAAATAGAAAAGAATCCTAAAATTTATATGCAACCATAAAAGACCAAGAATAGCCAAAACCATTCCGAGCATAAAGAACAAAACTGGAGGAATTACATTACCTGACTTAAAATTATACTACATAGCTACAGTAACCAAAACAACATGGTACTGGCATAAAGACAGAGAAGTAGACCAATGGAACAGACTAGAGTACCCAGAAACAAATCCGTACATCTACAGCAAACTCATTTTCAACAAAGGTGCCAATAAAATGTGCTGGGGAAAAGACAGTCTCTTCAATAAATGATGCTGGGAAAACTGGATATTCATAAGCAGAAAGAATGAAACTAGATTCCTGTCACCATCTACAAAAATCAAATCAAAATGAATTAAAGACTTAAATCCAAGACCTAGAACCATGAAACTACTACAAGAAAACCCTGGGGAAACTGTCCAGGATATTGGACTGAGCAAAGATTTCTTTAATATTCCACAAGCACAGACAGCCAAAGCAAAAGTGGACAAATGCAATCATATCAAGTTAAAAAGCTTTTGCACAACAAAGAAAACAATCAACAAAGTGAAGAAACAACCCACAGAATGGGAGAATATTTGCAAACTGCTCATCTGACAAGTGATTAATAATGAGAATATGCAAGGAGTTCAAACAACTCTACAGGAAAAAAAATCTAATCATCCAATTTAAAAATGGGCCAAATATCTGAATAGATGTTTATCACAAGAAGACATACCAATGGCAAACAGGTTTATGAAAAGGTGCTCAACATCACTGATCATCAGAGAAATGAAAATCAAAATTATGTTGAGATACTGGCCAGGCGCGATGGCTCACGCCTGTAATCCCAGCACTTTGGGAGGCTGAGGCAATTGAATCACTTGAAGTCAGGAGTTCGAGACCAGCCTGGCCAATATGGTGAACCCTGTCTCTACTAAAAATACAAAAAAAAATTAGCTGAGCATGGTGGTGCACACCTGTAATCGCAGCTACTCAGGAGACTGAGACAGGAGAATTGCTTGAACCCAGGAGGTGGAGGTTGCAGTGAGCCTAGATCGTGCCATCGCACTCCAGCCTGGGTGACAGAGGAAGACTTCGTCTAAAAACAACAACAACAACAACAAAAAAAAAAACCAAAAAAAAAAAAAAAACGGAAAAAAATGTAACGAGATACCATCTTACCCCAGTTAAACTGATTTTTATCCAAAAAACAGGCAATAACAAATGCTGGTGAGGATGTGGCGAAAAGGGAACCCTCGTACACTGTCAGTGGGAATGTAAATTAGTACACCCACTATGGAGAACAGTTTGGACATTTCCTCAAAAAATTAACATTAGAGCTACTATACGATCCAGCGATCCCACTTCTGGGCATATACCCTAAAGAAAGGAAATCAGTATATTGAACACATACCTGTATTCTCATGTTTACTGCAGCATTATTTCACAATAGCCAAGATTTGGAAGCAACCTAAATGTTCATCAGTAGATGAATAGATAAAGAAAATGTGGTACATATACAAAATAGAGTACTATCCAGCCATAAAAAGAGTAAGATCTTGACTGGGCATGGTGGCTGTAATCCCAGCACTTTGGGAGGCTGAGGTAGGCAGATCACGAGGTCAGGAGTTCGAGACCAGTCTGACCAACATGGTGAAACCCCATCTCTACTAAAAATATAAAAATTAGCTGGGTGTGGTGTCGCATGCCTGTAATCCTAACTACTCAAGAGGGTGAGGCAGGATAATTACTTGAACTGGGGAGGCAGAGGTTGCAGTGAGCCGAGATCAAGCCATTGCACTCTGGCCCGAACAGCAGAGTAAGACTCCATCTCAAATGAAGAAATAAATAATAAATAAATATAAAATTGAGTCTTAAAACAAAAAAAAGTGAGATCTTTTCATTTGCAACAACTTGGATGTACCTGGAGGTGATTATGTTAAGTGAAATAAGTCAGGCACAGAAAGACAAACTGCACAAGTTCTCACTTATTTGCGGGAGCTAAAACGTAAAACAATTGAACTCATAGAGATACAGAGTAGAAGGATGGCTACCAAGGGCTGGGAAGGGTGGTGGGCGAGTGGAGGGGAAGTGAGGATGGCTATTGAATACAAAAAATAGAAAGAATGAATAAGACCTAGCATTTGATAGCACAACAAGGTGACTATAGTCAACAATAATTTAATTGTACATTTAAAAATAATGAAAACAGTATAATTGGATTGTTTGTAATGCGAAGGATAAACGCTTGAGGTGATGGGTACTCTATTTACCCTGATGAGATTATTATGCACATGTCTTATCAAAAATATCTCGCATACCCCATAAACATATACATCTACGGTGTACACACAAAAAATAAAAATAAGTGAAAAAAGGGGATGCACTCTGGCCTGAACAGCAGAGTGAATACAGAGGCCACCGTGCTCAGCCTCTGCATTTTTTAAAACTTTTTGTGGTCAACATGCATTTACATTTTATAAAAAGACATGTAAATATCTTGTTTTATAAGTGGAATAAAAGAAAAAAGAAGATGAAAAAATTGCCCTGTTTTCAGACTGGTTTTGTATTGGGGGACTTCCTCCATGCCTAGCCAGCTTGTTTACAACTCTCCCTTGGTGTTCAGTTCCTGCTTACATGGATCCTGACATCAGCCAGAGGTGAAAACTTAGGTTCTTCTCAGGCTTTTCTGAGCGTATTTCCAGCGCTTAGCATGCATGCGGCTTTTTCAACTCTCTGGTATACACAGGAGCTGTTAAAAGCCCTTATTTCTCCACATATTTCTTTTCCGATCTTCCTCCTTCCTTCAGTCTATTATTTGTTCTGACTGTTACCTCTTTCCCCAGGCTGCTTCAGACAATACTGTGCCTTCAAATACTTTTAGCAAAAGCCACCACTTCTGAGAATGCTCCAAGTTGGGTGAAATGAGGCAGGCCCTTGCACCAGTTCTTGAGGGAACCACTAGTCAGGTTGAAGCACAAAATCACAACATTTGGGAATAAGGTCTGCATTGCTCCCTCCAGCACTATAAAGTTATACCAGGAGGGTGGGATGCTATCTTCAGGCTGCTGCTGATCTAAAGTGGGGAGTTGGAAGCAGGTGATTAAAAACACCACAGCATTCTTTTACTGGATTGTGGCTGCCTCTTTCTTCATTAAGCTTTCCCTTGCTTGTTGTAAGTTTTCCATTAAGTTCCAGAGTTGTGCAAAAATTGACAGTTTTTGCCAGCTTGTTTTTGGAGGGATGGAGCCCTGGGGCTCCCTATTCTGCCATTTTCCATGACATCACGAACAAGTATAGTTGTCATAAGTTTTTGATTAGTTTCCAGAGCTCTGATAAAGTTGATTTTGACACTGTTTGACAGTTTATTTTTTGCTTTTGTGAGGGAGAGAACTTGGGAGTTCCCCACTCTGTCATATTTGTTAATGTTACTTAAATTCAGGACTCTTTATTAGGGAAAATTGTCCATTTCAGTATTTTACTCCAACAGGGAATCATTGCTGGTAGAAGACAATGACTGGCCATTCTGGCCTCTACAATGATCTAGTTACAACTCTCAGATCCAGCAATGCTATTGGCGGAAACTATCTTATGGAAGATGGGCTGTATTAAAATGATAAGCAATAGTCCTATTAAAACCAGTACACCAATGTCTAAATTTTTAAAAGGTTGATTATTTAGCTTTTATTCTCTTCCTCTTGCTTTTCTTTTCCACTAGCACATTTTCTTCTTTCTGCTTTTCTGTATTTTTTTTTTTTTGAGACAAAATTTTGCTCTGTCACCCAGGATGAAGTGCAGTGGCACAATCTCAGCTCACTGCAACCTCCACCTCCTGGGTTCAGGCAATTCTCCTGCCTAAGTCACCTGAGTAGCTGGGATTACAGGTGCACCACCATGCCTGGCTAATTTTTATATTTTTATGTTGGTCAGGCTGGTCTTGAACTCCTGATCTCGTGATCTGCCTGCCTCAGCCTCTCAAAGTGCTGGGATTACAGGTGTGAGCCACCGTGCCCAGCCTCTGTATTTTTTTTAACGATTTGTGGTCAACATGCATTTACATTTTATAAAGAGATATGTAAATATATTGTTTTATAAGTGGAATAAAAGAAGATTTAAATGTAATAAGAAAGAATTCAATCTCCTTACTTAAGAGCTTATGAAGAACAGTTAAATTTTTATTTTTATTTTATTTATTTATTTTTTTGAGACAGAGTCTTGCTCTGTCGCCAGGCTGGAGTGCAGTGCCGCAATCTCGGCTCACTGCAACCTCCGCCTCCTGGGTTCAAGTGATTCTTCCGCCTCAGCCTCCCAAGTAGCTGGGACCACAGGTGCGTGCCACCACACTCGGCTAATTTTTTTGTGTTTTTGGTAGAGACGGGGTTTCACCATGTTGGCCAGGATGGTCTAAATCTGTTGATCTCATTATCTGCCTGAATAGTTGAATTTTTAAATTATCTTTACCCCTGATGAAAAATATAAATAGTTTTAGCATTACTTTATTATATTACAGTGTTCTATAATTGATAGATTACTACTTTTCATACCTTTTGGAGGGATACCTAAAGTTTTATCCCTTTTGAAGGGAGCCTAAAGTTCACAGTGGTGATGCATACCTGAAGAAATGATTCTGGTGAGCTGGATTAATATTCAGTAAGTGTTCCTCACTTTACAACCTATTGGAATTACATTTAACCCAATGCTCATTTAATAAACAAGTTTGTGCTGAGAACCAGCAGAACAATATTTTTAAAACTTTTCCTTTCATGGATCACAGTCAGGTTTAGAATAAGTCAACAAGCATTCAGAGTTTCTCCTTCTCCAGAATTTATTCAGTAAAATCTCATTTCTTCCCACAATTACATGCACACTCCCATACACAGACATAGTCACATAGGCCTAGACATATATTTACTTACTTTTCTTTCTTTTTTCTTTTTACTTTCTTTATTTCTTCCTCTCTCTTTCTGTTTCTTTCTTTTCATTCCTTCCTTCCTTCCCTCCCTCCCTCCCTCCCTCTCTCTCTCTCTCTTTCTTTCTTTCTTTTTTTCCTTTCTTTTTAAGACAGAGTTTCGCTCTGTTGCCCAGGCTGCAGTGCAGTGGCAAAATCTTGACTCACTGCAACCTCCGCTTTTCTATAATAAAAAATTATCAAGAGTATATCTCGGACTGGCCATGGTGGCTCTAGAATTGATAGATTACTACCATTACTGTAATTCCAGCACTTTGGGTGACCAAAGTGGGAGGATCCCTTGAAGCCAGGAGTTAAAGACCAGCCTTAGGAAACATAGCAACATCCCCATCCCTACAAAAAAATTTAAAACTAGCCAGCTGTGGTGGCACGCACCTGTAGTCCCAGCCACTCTGGAGGCTGAGGTGGGAGGATCACCAGGGTCCAAGAGGTCAAGATTGCAGTGAGCTGCGATGACATAACTGCACTCCATTCTGGGTGACAGAATGAGACTCTGCCTCGGGAAAAAAAAAAAAAAAAGAATTGTGCTGGGCGTGGTGGCTCACACTTGTAATCCCAGCACTTTGAGAGGCCAAGGCAGGCGAATCACCTGCGATTGGGAGTTTGAGACCAATCTGACCAACATGGAGAAACCTTGTCTCTACTAAAAATACAAAATTAGCTGGGCATGGTGGCTATGGAGTTCTCAGATATGACATGATCCATAAAAGGAAAAATTGATTAATTGGGCCTCATGAAATTTTAAAACTTTTACTCTTTGATAGAGCCTGCTAAGAGGATGAAAATACAAGCTACACACTAGGGGAAAATATTTCCAAACTATATAACTGTCAAAGAATTTAGAATACACACACACACACACACACACACACACACACACACACACACATCTCATAACTCAATAGCAAAAAAAATCTATTTAGAAAATTGGCAAAAGACATAAACATAAATGCACCAAAGAAGATAGACAGATGGCAAATAAACAGATGAAAAGATTTGCAACATCATCAGCCATTAGGAAAATGCAAATTTTTAAAATACATCCACAGGATATCACTACATACCTATCAGAATGGCTTAAAATAAAAAATAGTGAATACATCAAATGTTGGCGATGATGCAAAGAAACTCCATCAATGATCTTGAAATGAGCATAAATGGTACAGACACCCTAGAAAACTGCTTAACAGTTTATTTAAAAACTAACCAAGCCATTACCGTATAAACCAGAAATCACACACTTGGGAATTTATACCAAAGAAATGAAACTGATGTGCACACAAAAACCTGTACACAAATGTTCATAGCAACTTTATTCATAATAACAAAAAACTAGAAACAACCCAAATGTCCATAACAGGTGAATGGTTAAAAAAAACTACTCAGGCATATGGCTAGGTGTGGTGGCTCACACCTGCAATCCCAGCACTTTGGAAGGCTGAGGAGGGTGGGTCACTTGAGACCATCCTGAAACATAGCAAAACCCTCTCTCTACCAAAAGTAAAAAAAAAATTAGCTGAGTGTGGTGGCACACACCTGTAGTCCCAGCTACTTGGGTGGCTGAGGTGGGAAGATGGCTTGAGCCTGGGAGGCAGAGAGGTTGCAGTGAGCCAAGGTCATGCCACTGCACTCTAGCCTGGGCAACAGAGTGAGACTCTGTTTCAAAAAAGAAAAAGGCGGGGGGGAGGAGTATATTTCTATCTCTGCCCTATAATCTGATTCGTTTCTGTCTAAGCAAACATAACTTCACTTCTGTTGGATTTACAATTGAATCTCACAACTCAAGACTATACTATAGGGAAGCAACTTTCTTAGGAAAATGGTCCAAATAAGTAGGGCATTCTGGAAACAAATAACAGAAAGTGATAAGGATAAAGTTGATGTCAGACCCTAGAAATTGGGACTTTGTGAGACTTTCAATATAGTCCCGCCATTTTAGTCTTTTGATCTGGCAGAAGTAGCACTTTCTTAATCACAGTAAAATAGAAATGAAATGCTTATCTGCTACCCATTTCTCTAGGAAACATGATAGATTTGCTCCTTATTTTTACCAGTCATTTGTGCAATTTCTTATATTTTAATTAGCGGGTTATAAAATGTTAGTGACTATCAATCTAAAAAAACTTTTAGTCTTTTCTCTCCAGAATAATGATACAAATTGCTAGAGAATCAGTAAGAACTATACAGCTGCTGTGGGATTTATTTAATAATAAAAAAAGATAGGGCTCAACTGAAATCTGGTACAAGTTCAGAGTTTACATAACACAAGTGTGTGTCTAAGAGCTTTTGATTCTTTACATGGGCTGGACTTTAAAAACTGTAGTATATTAGGCAAAATCGTATACTCTAAAAATAATTTTTAAAAAAAGAAAAAAACTGTAGTATGTGTTAAAACATAGTACAGGGACCTGAGTTTTGTTTATAGTCACATCATCTTGCTTGACCATGAACTTTGTGTCATGTATGCAGTGGAAATTGGAGAAGCTGCCCTTTTCACAGCCTGTGCCTTTGCCATGGCAACACTGGTAACAACTCTACTGAGTGTATTATTCAGGTAAATAGAATTAAGTTGCTTTATTTGGGCCTTCTATAAATATCAGCATCATTTTTACTCTATTCTTCTCCATTCTTATTTTTAATTCTTATAACCCCAAATGAGTTCTAGCTGATGGTACTTTACTTCTGCTGAGGATGATCTTTTATTTCCCTTATTGCTTTTATTTAGGATAAATTTTATATATATATATATATTTTTTTTTTATTTTTTATTTTTTTTAGACAGAGTCTCACATTGTCACCCAGGCTGGAGTGCAGTGGCCCAATCTCAGCTCACTGCAACCTCTGCCTCCCAGGTTCAAGAGATTCTCTTGCCTCAGCTTCCCGAGTAGCTGGGATTACATGCACCCACCACCACACCCGTCTAATTTTTTGAATTTTTAGTAGAGACAGGGTTTTACCATATTTGTTGGTCAGGCTGGTCTCAAACTCCTCACCTCGTGATTTGCCCCCCTAAGCCTCCCAAAGTGCTGGGATTACAGTCTGAGCCACTGCGCCTGACCAGAAATTTTAATTTTTAGAGTATTTAGAAGATACTATATATTTCAGTAAATATTCTCCCATTTTTAAAATCCACCAACTATAACATTGTTCTTTTAATTTATCTGTCCTGTGTGTCTTTTGCTTCTTCTTCCTAGGAGCTACTCGGTAGAATTAAAATAACTCTCATTTTTATTCCTATTGAAACACTAGAAAAATTCTACGTGGTACAAGAACATTGAGTGAACCTGGTCACTTTTATGATTTTCAAAAAATTGCCTAGCCTATGTCTGGAGAAGGAATTCTAGGTTTATTTGCCTTTTCTCTGTTTTTCCCACAGTTCGATTTTGTCTTCTTACTTTTTGAATGAACAATTGAATATGCATGGTAAGATGCTAAGTGCATCTTAAGTGTCCTGAGCTCTATGTAATGGTGATCGATGTCCAACAGGGGGCACAGATTTCTAACTTGTCACAGAGGGCTGAGAAATGAAAAAATCCAGGTACTGATTGAACTATATGAGATATAATTTTTATTTTAAAACAATTTTTCTACTTGAAAAAGTAGTTACATTTATTTCCAAGTATTAACAAAATAGATGATTCAGCAATGAGTTTACAGACAGTAGGAAAAAAAGCTATATTAGAGCTCTACCTACTTTATTTTTAATTTTAATTTTTATTATTTTTAATTGACACATCATAATTGTACATATTTATGGGGTACAGGGTGATATTTTGATACATGTATACAATGTGTAATGATCAAATCAGGGTACTTAACATATCCATCACCTCAAATATTTATCATTTCTTTGTGTTGTGAACATTCAAAACCCTCTCTTCTAGCTACTTGAAAATATACAATAAATTATTATTAGTTACAGTCACCCTACTGTACAATAGAAAACCAGAACTTATTTCTCCTATCTAACTGTAATTTTGTATTCGCTAACCAACCTCTCCCCATCCCCCTTGCCCGCTCCGCTTACCAGGTTTTAGTAAACTTTATTCTATTTTCTGCTTCTGTGTGATATTTGTAGCTCTCACACATAAGTGTGAGAACATGTGATATTTATCTTTCTGTGCCTGACTTATTTCTTTTTTTTTTCTTTTTCTTTCTTTCTTTTTTTTTTTTTTTTTTTTTTTTGAGACAGAGTTTTGCTCTTGTTGCCCAGGCTGGAGTGCAATGGCGTGATCGCGGCTCACTGCAACCTCCACCTCTCAGGTTCAAGCAATTTTCCTGCCTCAACCTCCTGAGTAGCTGAGATTACAGGCATACACCCCCACACCCAGTTAATTTTTGTAATTTGTATTTTTTGAATGACTTATTTCACTTAAAGTAATGCTCGCCAGGAGCATCCATTTTGCCATTAATGACAATATTTTATTCGTTTTTATGGCTGAATAGTATTCCATTTGCTAT